TTCCTCCTGCCTTCACCAGTTTCCCCAGGTTTGCATGATCTTCCTGTGTCCTCTACCCGTATTTCTAACCTCTCCCTCTCCTTTTATCTCTCTATCCCCTCTCTCAACTCCTTCTCAGTCTTCTTCCCAGAGGGTGAGGCCACTATATTGAAGGGCTTGCTTACTGTAACCATATTTCTGGTTGGTGCTTAATTTTTATATGTGGCCATGGGTCTAGTTCATGCAGTTAAAGGTGTCAGAATAGTGGCTGCCAGTTTGTCAATTTCTGGGATGTGTTTGATGCTATTCTTGATGCTGATTGTATTACTTTGGCCAAGGTAATAGGACTGTTCTGGGCAAATGTCTTTCCTGGTGTGCCAGGACTGAGATTAAGGGCTATTACAGACTCAAGGCCCAAAGGCTAACTATACCTGGAGGATAATGCAGGTAGTACCCATTCCCTAAGGGTTCTAAATACTAGTAAGAAAGATACTTGCAATAAACATTTTACAGGCAGCAACCCAGGAATTAAACCAAAAACTTCAACAATTAAAAGCTAGAAATGAAAAGATGCCTAAATAAGACACAAACCCAGATTTCCAGATCACCAAAGGGAAATCTAGGGGACAATGAGATGGAACAATCTGAAACTCAACCACCTAGACTCCCTGAACTGGCAATTAAAGAAGATTTGGAAAAAATGAAATCAGAAATCATTTCTGTTAAAAAACAGAGATAATGAACATTGTGAAAGATATGATTAATAACTCTGGAGCAGACACAGATAAAAAAAAAATAGAGGAGCTCAGGAACATCATGGAATCCATGAAGGTCCAGCATAGGAAAGAAATGGAATCCATAAAACAGATTCAAACAGATACTCAGGAGATTAAAAGCACCATTGAAAGTATACACAGCAGAATGAGCCAATGTGAGGACAGGATATCAGATATAGAAGGCAGGAATGCAGTTAGTGACCAGGAAAAGAAAATTTCTTAAAAATAGCAAGGGAACATGGAAAAACAATCCAGCAGCTCCTAGATGACACAAAGAAGACTAACATCAGAGTCAATAAAAAAGCAGGAGTTGGTGGAAAAGACATTAAAAATCTGCTCATAGAAGTAATGGCAGAAAACTTCCCAAGCAGGGGGAAAAAATTGACATACAGATAAGTGAGGCATATAGGACTCTAGACAGCCATGATCAAAAAGAATCCACACCTAGGCATATAATAGTCAAGATTCCAGAAACCGAACCGAAGAACAAAATATTGAAAGCAGTTAAAGAAACAAATCACATACAAAGGAAAACCCATCAGAATCACAGCAGACTTCTCCACACAAACCCTTAAGTCAAGAAGAGCTGGAAGTGAAGTATTTCAAGCCCTAAAAGAAAACAACCTCCAACTCAGATTCATGTCCCCTCAAAACTCTCTTTCAAAACTGATGGAGAAATAAGATACTTTCATTAAAAAGAATGCCTGACGAACTTCATGAATACCAAACCAGCACTCAAAAAAATTCTAAACAATATCCTGGAAAGAGAAAATAAGTCACAACTCCATGAAGCCCAACAGAATGAAGCCATCAGACAAGAAATTAAATGGGAAGAGGAGAAGAATGAGTAAATGAGCCAATAGGTAAATATCATGACAAGGATAAGTCAATACATATCAGCTCTAACCACCAATGTCAATGGCCTCAATTCACCAATCAAAAGAAATAGACTGGCAGAATGGATCAAGAAGCAAGATCCAACAGTATGCTGTATATAAGAAACACATTTAATTCAAAAAGAAATTCATAGACTGAAAGTAAAAGGATGGAAAACAATATTCCATATGACAGGAAACTCGAAAAAAAAAAAAGCAGGGGTAGGGCAGGGGATTTATCTCAGTGGCACTGCACCTGCCTTGCAAGCAGAAGGTCCTGAATTCAATCATCAGTACTGGGGGAAAAAGGCAGGGGTGGCCATCCTATTTGCAGACAAAGTAGATTTCAAACCAAAACTAATTGAGAGACAAAGAAGGTCACTACATCCTTGTAAAGGGAACAATCCAAGAGGAAGAGATGACAATCATAAATATATATGCACCAAATACTAGTGCACCCAACTATATAAAACAAGTATTAATGGACATGAGAAACCAAATAAGCACTAATACTAATACAATAGTAGTGGGGGGCCTCAATACCCCAGTGTCACAAATAAACAAATCAACTGGACAAAAAAATCAACAATGAAATATGAGAACTCAAACTTTTGAAAAAATGGACTTAATAGATGTCTACAGAGTGTTCCACCCCACAAAACCAGAATACATTCTTTTCAGCTGCACACAGTTCATTCTCCAAAATAGACCACATGCTAGCTCATAGAACATGCTTAAGTAAATGCAAAGGAATTGAAGTTATCCCTTGTATATTGTCAAATCACAATGCAATGAAATTGGAGTTTAATAGCAAAAGAATCCACAAGAACTTCACAAACACATGGAAGTTGAATAAGACCCTTCTGAACAACCAATGGGTCACAGATGAAATTAAAGAAGAAATTAAAGTTTCTACAATTAAATGATAATGCCAATACAACATACAGGAACTTATGGGACACAATGAAAGCAGTCCTATGAGGGAAATTCATAGCAGTGAATGCCCATATTAGTAAAACAGAGCAAGCTCAAATAAACAACTTAATACTGAACATCAAGATCCTACAATAAGAAGAGCAAGACAAACCCAAAGCTCATACAAGCAAGGAAACTGTAAAGATCAGAATAGAAAACAATGCAATGGAGACTAAGAGAATACAAAAAATCAAATAGTTGCTCTTCAAAAGAATAAAATTTACAAACCCTTAGCCAACCTTTTCAAAAAAAGGAAAGAAAAGGCTCAAATCCATGCAATTAGTAATGAAAAGGGCGAAATTAAAACAGATCCTGCAGAAATCCAGAGGATCAATACCTACTTTGAGAATCTGTACTCCAATAAGATGGAAAACACAGAAGAAATGGACAGATTCCTAGATAATATTAATTTCCAAAGTTGAACCAAGAAGATATAAAAATTCTAAAGAACCCAATATCATCAATGAAGTTAAAAACATAATTAAAAACTTAGCAACTAAGAAAAGCCCAGGTCCTGATGGCTTTACTGCTGAATTCTACAAGAAATTTAGTGAAGGGCTAATTCCACTACTACTCAAACTTCTTAGAGAAATTGAAAGGGAAAATTCGACTTGAAAAAAACCTATATAGGCCAAGAGTGAGTCACATGTTGTTTTGCCAACACAAAGCGTGATGCTTCAGTCTAAGCTCAGATCTCACCCAGACAACATGTAGGGCTTGTGTTAGTGCACTAGAACATTTGTCAATGTACTTCTTTTTTGTGTGTGTGTTTTATTTGTGTAAAATATTATAACCATGGTTCTAAAGAAAGTTAGTGATAGCAGCAGTAAAGCTAAGAGGAAAATTGTGAGAACCACAATAGAGTGAAAGAAAGAAATCATTGCAAAATTTGTTGAAATCCTGGAAAGATGAAATGGTAAGTGTAATTCTGGGGCCTTAGAACCAATCATTTGGTTTTCCATTATTTATTATGGGAAAAATATGTTCAGTTCTCAAACTTTTCAGGGTTTGAACATGAATTTGGAATTGAGATTGACAACTGAGGTATCAGTGTACTTCAAGGAAGAATCTGAATACTGTGAGCCATTTCAAACAATAAAATAGTGAAGACCTCCCCCCAAAAAAACCCAAAACAAAAAAGCCCCACAAATAATCCCATTTACAATAGGCAAATGATGTGAATATACATTTCTCAAAGACATACAAATGGCCAAAATATATAGGAAAAGATGCTCAGTATCATTAATCATCAGGAAAATGCACAACAAAATTATGATATCACATCATTTCAGGCACAGTGAATACTATCAAAATATGAGTAACTACTGATGATACAGATGAAAGGGATCACCTAATAAATACTGTTGGTGGGCAAGTATATTGTTAAGCCATTGAAGAAAAATGTGGAATTGCTACAAACAATTTTGCCTCATGCAAGAGACTGAAGCATCCAGGGTGAAGGAAATGGTATTCTACATACAGAGACATGATGCCTATTTCATGGCTATACATATAGCTCCCTCTGAAATTTCTAGTTATCTTCATTTTCTTATGGATTCTAAAAACTGAGCTACTATATTACTCAACAAGATGACCACTGCCTATATAACCAAAAGAAATACAATGCACATGTTGATTAGAAATGTCTCTACTTCCATATTTAATGCAGCATTATCTAAATGGCAAAGACATGGAGTTACTGTAAATACTCAATAGATGAATGGGTAAACAGGCCACATATACACAATGCAATAGATTCGTAGGAAAAAGTTCCCTAAATTCCAAGAATATGGGTGAAATTCCTCAAATATTAGGTACACAAAAATATGTACTCAAATGAAAAATTGAAATTAAAGCTGACCTCACAGGAGAGAGCAGTATGAAAGTAGATGAAGGGATGCTAATTACAGTCAAATAAGGAAAATAAGATCTAGTGTTCTGTGATACAGAACAACTACAACTAATAATGGTGTGTTTAGTATAACAAATTAGCCAGAAGAAAGGGTTCTGGTTACTTTCACAAGACATCATGTTTCAGGTGATACACATTGCAGTTACTGTGACTTGATTACATAATATATTCATTTAAACTTCATACTGTACCCTATAATTAAGATAATGTATTAAATTGTAGAAATGCTTCCACAACACAATTTATCCTTACGGTAGAAAACTTCAAAGGTACTCAGCTAAAAAATTTCTGTGTGATATGAAATGGAAAGGACAAGAAATCAAGAACCATAATACAGGCAATGAAGGAAACAGCTACAATGCATATTTTGATCTGTAAGAAAGTACACATCAGTGACACACTAGAGCTAAATTAAGACATGAAAAACTAAACCCTCTTCTATTCAGAGACTGCCATGTGTGCATCCATAGAATACGCATTGTGTGTCCATACATAGAATATCATTTATTTATCTTGGGTTTTTCATTCTCTTATATGAAGCAATGAACTCATTCTAATAAGAATACTTTACTAATAATTATAGAGAACTGTTCTGTGAGTTTATGTCCTACGAATTTCAAAACAACATCATGATTAAGTCTCAGAAATCATTTAAACTGGCTCAAGGAATACATTAAATTTTCTAGGGTCATTAATCAGAAAAGAACAGTAAGTTAAAATAATTTAAAAGTGTTTTTGAGAAGGAAATAATGGAATGTAGAATTAAAGAAAATGTATCAGTATAATTATCATGAATTATATTTTCAAATTAACTTTGGAACAAAAGTATTAAAAAAATTCTTAAATTTTGTGAAGAGTATTTCATAAACTTCAATTAAACCACATAGTGGACCCTTGACTTACAAACTCAATTTGTTTCCAAGGGCTGGTTGTAACTCTCTCAGATTTCTCCACACAGCCTTCAAAGTCTCTGTCCTGTATAGAGGCAGATCTCAGGGTCCTTAAAGAGACAGACACTGGCCCAGGATTTCTCAAATAATGCCACACAGGAAAGGATGTTGTAATGTTCCTTCTATAACTCTTTAAGGGTTGACTGTATATCTGAAACCATCTGGAAGCACAAGTGCCTAGCATTTAGGTTGTAACTCAAGACTTTGGTCTTTAAGTTAATACTGAAATTCCAGTGGTAACCCAAGTTGTTCATATGTCAGGCTGGTCGTAACTCAAGGTCTTTCATGACTAACAGGCAAAAAAAAATGACAGATATAGCAGGCAGAGATTCTAAAAGGGAAAAATTATATTTCTGATAAATAAGTCTTTTCAAGTTATCTTTTGTTTTGATAAGTCCTTTTCTGCTGTGCATGGTGGACATGCTTATAATCCTAGCACTGAAGGGCCTGAGGCAGGAGGATTGCCATAAATTCAAGGTCACCCACAGCTACATAATTCAAGGCCAGCCTAAATACATAGCAATACCACCTTTTAAAAATTCCCTTTATTCTCAACAGATGACATATATAAACTCACATACTCAGTAATTCTACAATCTCCTATGCCTGAAGCTTATCAAATAGTAATATGCTTATTTCCAGACAATATATAAAATCTGTGTTCTTTGTAGCCCCAAAGGGATAATATATAAATATGAACCATAAAAGTAAGGGCTTTCTTTTGCATTTCTCTATCCACCATAATTTTCCAATAATTATAAAAAGTAGGGAAGAATAAAAATGACTTGTGGAAGTAATGGTCTCTAAATTATCTGAAGTTCAGTGACCTTAGGAAAATGATTACAAGAAATGTCACTATGCTGTTAACCCAACAGTATAATTATTACCATCTGATAGGTGCAATCTTGAGTAAGGGGAATAATTTAATGTCCATGTTAGAATAACCTGCTATTCCATACTCAAAACTGGTATTACGTTAATACTCATTTTTCTTTAGTAAAAAAATTAAAGATTACAAAGTTTCAAAAAATGCAAAATTCACATTTTCTGTGAAACAAACCTTTAATAACCATCAGAAAGTTTTGTTCTTCTGATACAATGACTAATTTAAAAGTTGTTCTTTATCCAGTTTGCAAAAATGGAACTAAAAAACAGGCATTTATAATAAGCTTTAAGATGTGATTAAAGGCTCTGCCACAATCTTTATACCTGTATAGCCTTTTTCCCATATGAATTCTCTAGCGTCCAGTAAAGGTTGAAATTTCATCAAAGGCTTTGCCATACGCATTACATTTCTAGTGTTTCTAATACATATTCTATGCTCTAGTTCTGCCACAACCATTACATTTGCATTTCAATCAAGTATGAATTTTCTGGTGTCGAGTAAGACTTGAACTTAGATTAAAGGCTTTGCCACATCTGGTACATTTGTAGGGTTTCTCTCCAGTATGAATTCTCTGGTGCTGAGTAAGTGTGGAACTTCGATCAAAGGCTTTGCCACACTCTTTACATTTGTGGGGTTTTTCTCCAGTATGAATTCTCTCATGTTGAGTTAAGTTCGAGGAACTATGGAAAGTTTTATTACACACTTTACACTTGTAGGGTTTCTCTCCACTATGAATTATGTGGTGTTTTTTAAGGGTTGAAGTTTGGTTAAAGGCTTTGCCACACTCTTTACATTTGTAGGGTTTCTCTCCAGTATGAATTCTTTGGTGTTGATTAAGGGCTGAATTTTGATAAAAGACTCTGCCACAATCTTTACATTT